ATTATTAGTGGTTTATGTAATTTATGCGTGGAAGGTTCTCCTGGTTTGGGTAAGACATAGCTAATATATTATTACTTGAAAGGATAGAAGGTCAGGAAAAGGGAAGAACCATCACCATTTTTGTTCGACACTTTAAGTGAGGATGTCGAGTGGATTTGGGTTGACTATTTCGTGTTATCCAGATATATTTGTCATTTAAGTACTCTGCTAGCTTTGATGGATCATAAGCCAGTTAGTATGTCGTGGAAAGTTGTAGACGATCGAACTTTAAAATGATAAAGAGTAATTTTATTTTTACATAGAACTGTCCTATACCTGGAGAATATAAAATGTTTGTTAGACGTGTTAAGCATAGATATGTACACCATTCAATGGTTTTATATGATGGTTATATTTCTGATTATATACTTGTAGTTAGGACCAGCTAATGTACTCATTGTGGATTATGAATATCATGACTGCCTACTTCTGATCACGTATATGCCAATTTTTCTTCGTAAAAATCAACAGCAATTTTCACCGGAAGAACCCAATGATATTAAGAATGAAACAAAAGTTCGTTGTGTAGTAGATGTTGTCAATGAACGACTGAAACGATGGCGTTTTTTTATTAACAAAATGATGCTTCATACCTTAATACTTATTGTTGGTGATTATTTCTCAATCGTGTGTTCTTTTAACAATCGATTTTCACACCCTGTATGTAAGTGATAGAAGCAATGATGATCAACTTGCAAACACTTTTTTAATTTACTTACAGAAACAATGGAGTTAGAAAATACGTTAAACATATGAAAGATTGTAGTGCGAAAAAACTTAAAGTGAAGACGACTGCGAAGAAAAAAATTATTGTTTGGATTCGAATTCGAACGCGGCATGCCAATTCAATTCAGTACGATGCCTGATTAAAATATTATAGCAACGAAATACTTGACTGATACTGTACGTGTAAGCTTGGAGCCAGCGTTGCAGGTTCTAATAAATCTTTAAAACTAACTAAACAAATGATTAAATATCGTTTCACTAAAAACAAACTTTTTTTTCTATCATTTTATTTTCTCGAAGTTATAGTGTATACTGAATTTTTTATACTGTACATACAATTGTTAACTGATCTAAGTACAACTTCTTCATATCATGATATTAATATGTTTTCTTTGTATCGATTTCTCTAATGACTTATCTAAACTTTCTCGAATAATTACGAATGATATTTTGCGTGAAAAAAACAGACAAAACAGCAGTCTTTTGATGTGATTTCATTATTTTTTTATCTTTCCATAAATGTATTGTGAGAAACTATGAAATACTTGGTTCACTTATCTTGCTTTTAAAAATGCTTTCATAAGAAAGATCATACAAAGTTGTGCATAAACCCCCCGACACATTATAAGACTCCCTATAATACAAGATGCCTCTCAATAGAAGATCCCCCTTTGATAAACGAAGCAAAAGACATATTAGAAGACTCCCTCACAAAATCGATTTTTTTGAAATAATTCCTAGAACCTAGTGGCATATTTTAGAATTTAAGTCCATAATGATGTCTAAGTTCAGTATCAACAATATTTTACTTTCGTGATGATAACGATCTGTCAGTTCCAAGTTTAAAAAATCGTGAGAAACAGCTAATAGGAAACAACTGTTTACAAAGTAATATGTTTTTTCTTGAAAGCATTTTTTGGAATCATTTTAGTCCTTCTTTGCAGCTTATTCTGGGAAAATTCATTAATTTCTATATGCAGAAAAACCTGTCTATGACCGTACGATCTAGTGAACCTAGTCCACATTCGCGGATGTAGCACATAAAGGGATCTTTGTAAAATAGTACCATATTTGATAAAATTTCGTTTTGTATTAATTGAAAAGCTTGTTCGTCTGTAAATTTCTTCTAGAGGTTCAGAAATGTCTTTATTCCAAAACAGATTTTTATAGTTGAAGAAAACCTAACTTCACATATACACTTCGAAGTTTGTTCGGTGAGCACTTATGAGTCTGAGAACGAATTTCTTTTTTCAATACGACCCAAAGTCACTTTTCGAAACAAACATAAAAGAGAACGCAGAATGTGTATTTAACTGCTGTTTTTCTACAAACTGTTTCTTCAGAAAACAATCATAGTCATCGAAGTTAACTTATGACCAATAATTATGTTAGTGGTAGATTTCACTGGAACTAATTTCATCTGTACTAATCAAACCTCAACATAAACAGTTGCCTTAAGTAAGTTTGACAAAAAGAAGGTCATTTTCTTTTTCAAGTTATTTAGTTATTTAGAAGGTAAAATGTTGCCAGTGACAATAGAATTCTTTAGAAAAAAAGAATTTTATTGAACATTGTACCAAGATGTTAGAAAGTATTGCCTGTACTGTTCTTAGAACACTTCTTACTAACGATAACCTTCTTCCTTATCATAGGGTAATATATGATTCTTTCTCATTCTACTCACGAGGAATAAATAAAATAAACTCGTTTACTAACGGTGTATTGAACAAAAATTGACTAGAACCAAAATTTGTTGACGATACTGTCAAAAAATAGCTTTTTCTAAGGGATATATTAGAAGACCCCGGGTCTTCTAATGTGTCGAGGGCTTTATGACGTCGCAAATATAATCTGCCATCCGGATTGGTTCCGTGGGATTTGTATAATAAATACTTATCTTTTAGATTGATTAGCTTTCCAACCGTGTCCAATAGACAGTACAAGCTCAAATACATGAGTTTTTAAACTACTACAACGATTGTTTGGTTCTAAACATAACCCATAGTTAGTTTCTAACTTTAGGCTCTTTATAGAGAAACCTTGGTAACTCGCGAGGAAACATCTTCGAGTGCTAAGTCGTTTCTGGCTTTTGAGTGTGCTCATTCGATGAGTACTGGCGAGCATAGAAAAAGTCAAGAATGACTGGGTTTTCCAGGTCTTCGCTCTTATGATATCGAATTTTTAGTGAATTTTTCAACAAAACCCCGTACTCCCCCTCAGATTACGTTCAAAGTTGAATTTTTAGTTTTGCCTTGAAACTGTGCACAGATCATGCTTTCAATGAAACTAGTTCATTGTGAAAGTTTCAGCCTTTTTCGTTGCTTTTCTCATGAGATATGGATATTCAAAATTCTGTCGTGTGAGAAAGCAAATTTTGTGCTTTTGCTAGCTTATCACGAAAGAAGCAATGGAAGAGGCTGAAACTTTCACAATGAACTAGTTTCATTGAAAGCATTATCTGTGCAAAGTTTCAAGGCAAAACTAAAAATTCAACTTTCAACATGACCTGAGGGGAGTACGGAGTTTTGTTGAAAGATTCAGTGAAAGCCTATTTTTTTAGAAATTTTACAAGCAGAAGAGCCTAGATAGGCACAGATAGTCAGCATCAAGTGAGAAGCATAATTATACAAAATATCAAGTTATCAACTTTATCAATTGTAAGGATTGCTCATGATCCGCTTTTTCGGTCCACTGTGTCTTCCTCCCCCCCCCCTCTCGATCTGCAAGAATCTTTTGCTGGTTCCACCACTATTCATATAATGAGTTATTCTTTCTGTTCTAATGTAACTATAATTCATTGCATTAAGAAAAGTAATGAATAGAGAAATCTCATCAAATGAATGATTTATTTCTATACGCAACTGAATGACTGTTACATTGGAAACAGGAAGAGTGACTCAACAATGTATGGAAATATTTCATTCTATCGATGAAAAGAATAATGTGTATATTGAGTATGATGACTTACAGGTTTGAAAAACATGATTTTTCTTTTTGTTTTTCTTGAAGTTTTCTCTTTCCAAATTTGAATGGATAATAAGTGTTTTATTTTCAACTGAACGAAATGTTGATCTATTTGAACAAATTGACTTTGTGTAAAGTAGCGAATTCTTTTGAAGTTTCAATGTCTGATTTTTATGGAATCATCAATATCGTTAACAGTTTATTTGTCAATCAATTGTATTCAACTTTGTATCCAAGACCACTAAAACATGTTGCTGCCACTTTGACATCTTGACTAAGTTTTTTTTCCTTAAGATGAATATTAAACCATAAATGAAACATGATTGGTGGCAACCACTCATTCTTAGTTCAATCTTGCATTAAGTTCCTTAATACATTTTCTCAGAGTACGTTCTAATTTCACAGTTGACTTAATGCACAAACTTCTTTTAAAATCGAAAGATTCATCACCAAGAAGATCTTTTTCAATTTGATCAGATGAAATATCATATATATATGAGCAATAAACTTAAATGGCAATACCTCTTCAAACTCATTTCATCTGTCAAGTGGTATTACTGTTGCTGTATAGTACATTAACTGTACGAATATTTATTCAGTTCAGAATTGTTTTACACCCATTCACTAAATGCACTTGAAAAATATTAATGACACATTTATAACGGTAAAAAAAATTAAAATCAAACACTTTTCTACGCAATGTTTGAATTCTAAATTGTTTTTCGATTTATTATTTTGCAAGTAGAATATATGATGAACTATGTCACAAATATGAACCTTGTACTATTAGTCATTGAAGAAAGAAAAATGATTGCATGATGATAAAATAAGAATCCGTACTTTGATTGATTCACAATATCTATATGAGATAAGAAACATTTTTTTCAACTTATATGTTTGACTGAATGTTGTCAACGTTAAAACATGTATTCTTTTTTTATGTGAGGAAAACAACAGCAAAAACGATATGTATTTGATATGGATGAAAGAAATAAACACACACAAAAAATGCCTTATTACTCTAGAATATTTTGATATGACAAAAAAAGTAAAATAAAATAAAAGATTTCTCCAATTAACACATAGGTGGGTTGACAAAACCAAATACATTAAGTTCAATTAATAAGGAAAAAATCACGAATATTCCATAAATAGCAAGGAAAAAAATACCCAAATTTTGATCTAAATACCATTTTCGATTATGAAAACTAAATACCTAGAACAAATAATCAAAAATAATAATAATAATAATAATAAAAGTATATCATTTTTTAAAATTTTTTTCTTGCCGTTATAGCAACAATGCCAAGTAAAAGAACAGAATCGTACATAAGTCCATTAGAATTGATATGTACTGCTTCTCCACTAACTAATACTTTAGAAAACCATGGTAAAGCAAGACCAACTAGTAAATCAAATACATTCGAACCAAATGTATTCGATACACCCATATCGACAAGACCTAGTAAAAAAAAAAAATATCAAAATTCTTCTATATTATTAAGTTTCATTTCAATTTCTACCTTGACGAACTACTAAGACACTACTCAATGCATCTGGTACACTACTACCGGCAGCTAAAAATGTTATACCCATAACACTATCCGGTATACCAAATGTAAAACCAATAATTGTGACCATCCAAACCATTAGATAAGTCAATAGACATAACCAAACAATAGCCATGACAAAGGTAAATGGGTACCATTTATACCATCTGTTGTATATATGTATTGATTAGAAATGAATATTTAATGAATTAAGTATAATTACTCACCTTGGATTTCGACAATCGGGAATAGTAAAATGGCAGAGAATTTTAATCGGTGCTATTATTACCCATTTAACAAAACCTATTGGATCATAATTATAAGCAGGAATATTTTTCCAATCATTATAATTGTCTTCAGCTGCTAATAAACTAAATATCGAAATAAAGCATATTATTTATTTTGATGAAATAACTTCTTTTTTCAAAATAAAGAAAAAAAAACTGTTCTACCTTGGTGTACGACCTTGATAAAATGAAAAACGTCTTTCATTTGCTGGTTTTTGAGGACGGATTACACCTTGTCCTTGTTGTGATCGCATCTATAGAATAACAAATTATTTCTCTTTTCGAAAGATCAATTTTTATTTTTCATCTTACTTGACTAATAACAAATCGAACAGCCATTTTAAATCTAGTTCGAGTTCGAAAATATCTTGACATCATTAATTTAAGTGCTGATGTTTCAAAATCAAGTGGTAAATATGATCTTGCAATCATTTCATCAATTGGTATACGATTTTGTCCTATTGATGTATTTTTATTAAAGGCACTACCATCATCATCATCAAATCGTTCTATGAAAATAAAAATAAATATATTTTATATATAGAAATAAAAAAGTCAACAAGCAAACTAACCATAAGTATTGTTCATTCCATATGTTTTTTTAGTATTAGCATAATTTATTATTGGCTCAGCTGGTCCACCATATGATTTGAATATTTGCCATCGATTAACAAATAATCGTTGTAATTTTTGATTATTACTATTCGAAATAAATGAATTTTTGAATTTTTAAAACAATTTATTCTTACCACATGATGGTTATATATCCTGCATACATTACAAGAAGAAATACTGATTCAAATAATGTTATACGACCATCTGATAAACACTATTTTCATAAAATATAAATTTTTCATTATATTGTTCTATTTTTTGATTGATTAATACTTACTATGATTAAAACTAAGATTGACATCGAATAATATAGAGAATCCCGACATAATGGCCTATATTATATTATTAAAACAAAAGCGCGAACAGTAATTAAATGAATATTCTAATATCAAACATACATACCACCAAGTCAATCGAATTGCCTATTGAATAAATATTACTAAATCATATATGATAAGTTATTTTTAGTTTCAAACTTACTCCATTAACGAATAAACCACATACACCAATGACACAAACAATATTGAATACAGCTGAACCCACAATTGTTCCTACACCAACATCACCTTTAGCCACAAAAATACCTGAAGAAATTTTATTTTATTTTTTGTTTTCTATGAAATAAAATCCTATCAAAAAAAAAAATATTTACCAATAATAGCTGTAAAAAGTTCAGGTGATGATGATCCGGCCGCCATGAATGTTGCACCTGCAACATCTTCATCAAGACCTAATGCCTGAAAGAAAAAAAAAGAATAAAACATGAATCATATATGACTTCAAACTAATTCAATCTATACCCCACAAAGTTTATCCAATGCTGATATAAAATAATCATCGACAACTATTGCAATAGCAATGAAAATATAAAGACAAGCAATAAAATGAAATATAATAGCTCCCTATATGATAATAATAATAATTGATTATCACATTTATACATATAAAAATTCACAATGACTTACATGACGTCTTTGTGATTGAGTAAAAAGATCTTCGGGAAATTCATCGATGGCTATAATGGAAAAATGCAGAAACAAAAGGAATGTATATTTGTGCAATTTATGCTTTTATGAAATCCTTCGCAGATAGAAGCATACGGAGATTAGATTACATGGCAATGCTTCTGTATTTTATAATTTGATTTGACATGAATTATTGAAGACGAAAAAAAAAACAAGAATATTTTACCTTAAGGCTTACTAGAGAATAGACATAATAATAGAAATTTTTAATTTTACTTACAAGGTTCAGTACAATTTTTACGTTGTCCAGGTTTCCAACCGATTGTAGTTAATGCAACAGTTGTTGTTGTAATAATAGTTGTTTTTCCATCATCGATTTGGTCTAAATGATCATTATGTCATCCTTCAGTTCTTTTCTTTTTTTTTTTTGAAAAAAAAAAGAAAAATAAAACTACAATTCTCATGAGAGATTATCAATGAAAACAGCATGTTGTTTTTATATTGCTGTCAAGTAAAGATGATATCCTATTTTCTTTGTACTTTCTTCCGGTATTTATAGACAAATCGAATACAATCATGATCAATATAAACTTACCGACAGAAGCAGCTGTTGATTGTATTTTTTGTGGTCGATATTTCCAATTTGATTTTGTACTACGTGGAGCAGCAGTAATCGGTCGAAATCGTTGACCAATAATATGAGCCAAAGCAAGACCAACAAATATTCGAATAAAAAATTTGACATTATGTCGATTGACAATATGATGATTGTCAGTTGGTCGTTGTTGTTTATGTAACAACGAAAACAATGGAGCCTGCATAATAATGATGATGAGAAGAGGATGTTCTTGACAATAATCAATCACGACACATTTTTGTTCTCTTCGTTCTTACTCTTGTTATTATTCTCATTTTGATGAACCTTCATTCAAGATGTGCTTTATTGTGTCACTGAATACTTTCAACTATTTCTGCATTTGCTCATCGTCTTACGCTCTCGGTTTTTTTTTTATTTCTTTATCAAGTATTCCAAAGAGCACGACTTCTCTCACAGCGACATTGAGAGAACCGGAAAAAATTTTGTCGAACCGACAGCGAAAGAAAAAGAAGAGCATAGAGAGAAACAGAGACTGCTCGTAAAAAGATAAAAAAAAGGCCCGCTATACAATTAATTATTGCAAATAGATGGTTCGAAACAGAAAAAAAAAAGAAGAAAAAATGCATTTTAACGGAAAATAATAGAGAAACACAGACAGGGGGAGAGAGAGAGAGAATCGTATTGTTGATAATTCAGCAGGAAAAAGACAGGAAAAATGATAGCAAGATAGAGCAGATATACAAAACTTGAACGGGTTAATGCAACAAGAAAAGGCTAAAGAAAAAAAAAAAGAAAAAATGTCGATGGCGATCGGCATGTTTACGAGAAATCACAAGAAGGCGCCACTTCAACATCGAAGAGAGAAAGGAAGCATGAAAGTCAGATATGTTCACATACTCAGTCTCCTCCCCTTCACTCGTTATATTTTTTCGGAATTCTGACAACAAAATTGTGCTTTCTCTTTCTTCTCTCTCATTTTTACCACTGTCAAATTTCTTGCCGAGTAATTCAACATGAATGATGAACGTACATGCATCCCGAAAGAGAAAGCCACAATAGAAATGCGTGCACATGCATACAAAAGAAAGTATTAAGACATAATTCAAATAAAATGTTGATCTATGTTTACATGAAGAATCATGCTAGTTTAATATGACAAAAAAAATCAGTATTAATTTAATTTGAAAAAAAAATGAAATCTAAACGATTAATTAATCTTTCAATAGAATAAGAAAGAGTTTTCTCTTTCCTCAATCGTTGACATTCATTTGATTTACAAGAAAGAAAGAAAAAATTGACATTTATTTGATAACATTCTTTACACAATCAACGAGATAAATGCTTGAAAATTTTGATTTCTACTGAGACTATGATTCAATAGTCATCTTCTTTCAAAAGAATTTAATCAAGTTTTAATTATAACAGGTTGATAATGAAAATAGATAATAGATATAATCTATATTAATCAATCTAAACAATATTCTTTTTCTGCATAGATAAACATTTTCGCATAATAATTGGTTGTTATGCATTAATATTGATTGAATTATATAGATGACAAATTTTAATTTCGACTATACTTTTCATCTTAGTTCATGATTCTTTTTGCTTAGTGATCATGTTTGTTAATACTGATCATTAATCATAAATATAGATATAAGAAGTCATGAAATAATTAATAATAAATATCTAATCATTGCATAAACAGCAAAAACATCTATGATGTTACCATATAATAATTCAGCTGATACAGATAGAAAAAATTTTAAAAAAATTGATCGTGAAGTTAAATTTTGCCGACATATATCAAAATTATTACAAATTCAATTTGCTCAATATTTAAATAATCTGTTAGAATATTCAAGTGAATTAACTTATTTTGCTATAAATGCATTTCAAGCATCATCATTACGACGTGTACAAATAAATAAACTGGTATAGTTATTTTTATCAATTGAAATTTCATTTTGAATATAGAAACAAGAAAAAAAAAGAATTCTCTTTCTTTTTTTTTTTATTCACATTAATAAGGAATAGTATAATTTACGGTTTAATGCGTTGCCGAATTGCAATTCATCTTGAAAAAATGATTACAACGTAGACTTGGGAATGAAATAAAAAGGAAATTATGATTTCCGGTTCTTTTTTTTTACGTCTCATTATAGTTGAAAATTAGGATTATGTTATTTTTGTGTTTTAAAAATTAATTCATTGATTTTAGCAAGCTTTCAGTGGTTTTTGTGTACCACGTACATGTGCTTTTTATTACAATCTCGATACAGATTTTGATAATTTTGTTCAAAAAATGCGTCTTCTATGTGCATTAAGTATATATTAAATATATTCATCTTTTAATATTCAAGTTTTCCATATTAGCTAAACAAACATTTCGTGATATACGTATTGCACGAAATCATTTTTCGGATGCTAAAATGATGAATTTACCAATTGTACATCGATCAATTGATATATTTAAATGTAATATTAATCGATTACGTGATTTAAAACAAATACATCAAGATATTGGCAATGGTCTATTATTACCTAATGATCAATTATATTTAGCTCTTGATTTACTTGTAACTGATTTTGAATTATTAAGTTGTGAACTTGATGCTGAAGTAAGAAAAATAAATAAATAAAATTAAAATAAAATTTTTATTTTTATTTTTATTTTTTAAGATTAAATTTACCGATGCTATGGTTTTACAAACAATTATTAAAGGTCTATATAAGAGTATTGAATTTATGTGAAGATATAATTTTCTTCGTTCGGGTAGTTCATAAGCATTATCATATTGTTTACAGAAGTTTTTTTCTTTTTTTGTCCTAACGAATAATTTTAACAAATAGATAATGTTTGATAGTTACGTATATGAAAAAGACTGATGGATACAATGAAATTAAATTAAGACTAACGAGAATTAATTTTACTAGATGTTTTTCTTCAATATCGCATTGCTTTAACTTGGATTTATCCGGCTGTAAAATATTCAGCTTATCGTCCAAGTGATCCAAATGCCCAACAAGAAATTAAAAAATGTGATCAACCAATTGGTATTCAACATATAGGTGATTATTGTGATAAAAAAAAGAAATTAGTAAAAAATTCAAGTACAATAACTCATGTTCAATCAATCGAACGTATAACAAATCCTATACATAATATTAATCAAAATTTTGCTACTGATACAATGAGTAATTGTTCATTAAAATATCAAAAAAAAAGAAGAAAATGTTCTAGAAAATTGCTTAATACAACAGCAGCTATAGATGATTTTAATCGATATTTAAATGAGAAAAAACTTCATAATATAGGAATTATTAATATAAAAAAGTGTAAATCAAATAGAATTACTTATAAATCATTTGAATTCAATCCAATTGTGAGTATTTAATCAATACTATTACAATAATTTAAACAATGATTATTTATTTTTCTTCTAGATTCAAAACATGAGAAAAAATCATAGATAATTCAAATGATTAATACCATTACATAAATAATTTATTCAATTATAAAATAGTTTCACTTTAAAATGTATCTCAAGTCATTGATAAATATAATATAGAATTGACTAAATCAAAAAAAAAAAAAGAAATTCTTTATATGATGATAGTTATTCATCTTACGCATTTTTTTCTGTTGTTTAAGTACTCAATAGAAACAAAATATTCTTTCGTTTTCTATCATGTTTTTCATATCCTTACATTTGTTTGCTCTCTATTAAGAAAGTCAGAGAAAGAAAATTTTTTAATGTATATCAATATTAGTCTAAATGTTAGATAAATATAACTTGCTCAACATTAATAACTTCCGTTTGTTTTGATGAGAATGTTTTCTCAGTAAAAACGGAAGAATAGAAGATAAATGCGTGACAGTTAAATACTACGATTTGGTGTATCTCAAGGGGAAACAAAACAGAAATGTTCTATGAGACATAGTCACATATATAAATATATTCTCAGAACATAAATACACTTGCTTAGTCGGGATAGAAAGGAAAGAAAAAAAGATGAATTCAAGCAAAGATTTATTAATTTTCAAATGGATGTCGAATATATTATGTTGATACAAGTTATTTTTCTTTTATTTGAATTGTTAGAATGAAGATTGATAATGGATGAACTACTCAAGGTTAATGTATTATGGTAGTCTATGATGATTAACCTCTTCAGGATAGATAATAACGCAAGAAAATATAAGGCAATGTTACTTTGATTCTATTATTAGTGTTTTATATATTAATTTTCAAGGAGAATTCTTATAAAAGGTATGATAAGTGTTCTTATGTTGCATCTAATTAGTAGTCAATCTTTCTGAAGGTAATATAAAGGGAAAAATAAATAATAGGTAGTCATGTTCTATTTGAAAGTACGATATATTTAAAGTGACTCATAGTCAAATTTGAGTTAGAAAATGATCGAATAAAAACAATCCGATGGAAAGAAATTGTTTATATATGTCGTTTTTTTCTCCAATAAAATATATATATATATTAAGAACAAGTTCAAGTGCTCTTATCAAAATACGCAAAGTGTTGTTTCAAAAAACTATTAATTATTTCTTCCGTTCGTTTCCACTCTTTTATTTCTTGAATTGAATTATATTTCTCGTATAAAAAAGCATAATCAAAATTATATTCATTGAGCTAACATTTTCAACTTTTTTCATTGGTGCTTCACTAGAGACCGTATTTCGAGTTTACACGATTATTTCAAAAAAAAAATTTTCAGATATAAACGACTGTAAGATAATATTTTCTTTTCAATATTTGTAAATATCTGAGCCAAAAAAAAGAATATTTTTTGAAGTCATTTCTTTCAACTGATTAAAAATGACCTAACGAACCGACTAGTTTGTACTGTCTTGAAAATATTTTTAACCAACTAGTAATCTGCAGGATTAGACCGTTTACAACTCTGATGCGAACTATCTTTCATTTTTGTGTTATTCTATTTCGACTGTTGAGATTTTCTCGTTCATTAATATTACAATGATAAAACTAGACTTATTAAGATATACATAATAAATGCAACTATCATCTTTGATAATTATCATATTCTTTATGAGTAGATACTTCGACTCCTCTATATTCCGAATTTTTTTTTTTGAATATTCTCTGGCTTGTGAATTTATTGATTGTAATCCACTATTGATATATTTTATTGTTTGTTTTTTTTTTGTAAAAATTATTTTTCACTGTTTAAGCTGACATAAGGAAAACATATTTTACTAATAATTAGCATTGACAAGAGTTAGTTATCAAACGAATTATACGTGTCCATCCTTGTGCATTACAACAAGGAAATAACCAAGGTAATGCAAGTGTTTCTAGTTGATTTGGTACTGGAATAAGTGTTGCTTTATGTTTTTGAACTGCTGCATCCATCATAGATAAAATATTTGAATAATTTTGAATATCCAATGGTGATTCTTCAGCAGGATCAGTTTCAATATCAAATAATAATGGTGGTGAATGTTGTATACTAAGACAAGGACAAATAATATCACTAGGACATGCACGTAAACCTTCATCCCATTTTGGAGTCCAATAATGTGCTTTATATTTACCTTGACGTACAGCCGTTATTGTTGAACCACAATAATGAAAGAGTGTATCTCGTTCTTTTTGTATGTTAGTTGTTAATGAAGAAGTAAACATTTCAGGATTCAATTTTAATTGTGACCATAAACTAACACCATCGAGAGGACGATCTTGTATTGATTGAACATTCCATAAATTCAAAAGTGATGGATAAAAATCTAATAATGAAGATATACTTTCAATTGTTTGACCTGGAATTACATGTCCTGGCCAACGAATAATACCAGGAACACGAATACCACACTCCCATGTTTGTCCTTTTGCACCACGTAATGGTTCACTAAGTTTACCAGAAGTTGTTAGAACACGACCACAAAATCCAGCTTCAATTCCACGTTCAAGAAAAGGTCCATTATCGGAAGAAAATAAAATTAAAGTATCATTTTCAATATCAAGAGTTTTCAATGCTTGAATAATTTCTCCAACACTCCAATCAAGTTCTTCAATATTATCACCATATGCACCATGACGACTACGTCCAACATTTTCTGGAAGAGTAAATAAAGCCGTATGTACTTTAACATAAGCCATATAAAGAAAAAATGGTTTCTTATGAATTTGAATGGTTTCTTTCATAAATTTAATTGCCTCATTTGTATTACGTAGAGTTAAATCTTGTAAATGAACTGGTTGTTCAATAATTGTTTCATTTCGATATAATAAACATGAAGAACGACTAAGAAGAGTAAAACTAAGTGAATACCACATACCACCAAAGAAACCAATAATACCTAAAACTAATATTATAAAAGCTAACTTACGAGAATAAATCAACCATGTCACCAATATAATACAGATTATTGCTAGCCAAATCTTGACAAAATGAAAATATTTAAAACAAATATTATAAGAAAATCATAATCTAAATCGTTATTTACTTTGCCTCTCAGAGTAATCCAATATGAAAAATATGAACGTTCAAGAACTTCACCATGTCCACCAATTAAATTATATACTTTCTTATTTCCACATGTTTGTACATTGGTCACAGGCATACCAAAGAACGTATGAAAACCATGACGAGTAGGTAAATGTTCACCATCACGTCCTAAACCTATATGCCATTTTCCAACTAAACCAGTTCGATAGCCTAATTGCTGAGCAATTTCAGCCATCGTCGTTTCATCATGTGGTAAACCACCTGGTTGAGCTGGAGAATAAAATGTACGAAATTGATTAGTATTTGATGTTAATCCTAAACGTATAGGATATCTTCCAGTAAGAAATCCAGCACGAGATGGTGTACATATTGAAGCTGCTGAATACATTTGTGTATATGTTGCACCATCACGTGCTAATGAATCAATATGTGGAGAATTAATTGTTGAATTTCCATAACATCCTAAATCTCCATATCCCAAATCATCGACAAGAAAAATTAGAATATTAGGTGTTGTTGATTTTGATATATTTATTAAATGTAAAAAGATAAAATAAATTCCAAAAAGAATTTTCATTTTTGATCTCAATTAACTATTGAATCTAAGATTCTTAATCAACTTTCAGTTTAATGAATTGTTAAAAAATGTTTCAAAAAAATATATTAAATCTACAATGATTAGTGAGATAAAAAAAACAACGAATCATCGGTAATGGCGTGATCTTAACGTAATTAATTATTTTCCTCTCCAAAATTCTCATATAAGTTGTCAATCTTTGATAATGCGACATAGACTTGACAACCTATTCGATATAGATTATCGTATCTAGAAAATATCCAAAAAAAAACAAGTGAATTAAAATAACTTTATAGATCTCAATAAACCAGCCTACCTATGACTCACATTGCATTTAGTATATGATAAAGTAAAAATAAGCGAACAATTTAGATAAAAGAACCTTTAAAATGTCCTCAGAGAAGAAGGAGACACATTTCTTTTTACTGATAAGTATATATATATATGAAGCCACAGATAAAAAAAATGAATTACTTTAATGTTCATGATTATCTCTAGAACAAGTTTTACTAGAATAAACGGGATCATAATAAATGTTAAGTATAGTTGGTTAAAAAAAATGAGCATGCTTTTATTATCAAAACAGTAGCTATCTAAAAAGAATTCATTGCATCTAGAAATAATGAAATATGAATTTAAAGATTTTAAAATATATTCCAATTTCTATGAAATTTATTTATGCAAAACTTGGTTTCTGTGCTGATTGTACAAGGTTTTTTCATATTTATAACTCATCAAAACAGAAAAAAAAAACGACTGTCTACAGAGGTCACTAATCAATACAATCTTGCTTCTGATTTCTTCACTATGTCCACCAATTGTTACAATAATGTCAAAAAATGATTTTAGCTGGATTATTGTGTACCTTTTTTCTTATCGTTAATCGTTTTGTATTCAATGTCGTCTTCGTCTACAACTGAGCCAGTATAGTTTTATATATAACTATTTTCTTGATTGATTAATTTTCTTATCTAGAGACTAGCATTTACATCTTTATGTATTTGGCCAGCATATGGTGCATTACCTTCTTTTGATCCTGAATGTCTTGGTGTTCTTGTAAGAATAGAGAATGTTGTTTATTCGTTTTGTGATCTAATTAGTTTTTTTTTTCCATAAGGCACATTTCGCTTTCTCTCGATTGAATGTTCCTATTAAAACAAATCTTGGTCGATTAAAATTTTACAAAGGTAGTTATTTTTGTTTTTTGAAAATAATAATCATAATCATATTGATTTTATTTTATTTTATTTTTTAATAATAATATAAAAACAAAAAGAACGTTTACCACTTCTACTTAGTGATAATGATAATATACATCTAGCAGCAGGTTATGAAGCTATTGTTGATCATTGTAAAAGATCGGTAAATATTTTCGAAGAATAGATTTTCACAAATAGAATTTTGTTTTATTTTTTATTTAGCATATTGATATTGATGAAAAATTTCAAGCTAATATTGCTGATTTACTTGCATTGAATGCACTTGTAAAATCAACATTTGTACCAGCTGTTGTATGTTATATGAATTTATTTTTTGTTTGATAAAAAAAGAAAAAGAATTTCTGTATAGCTTGATACATTTTGGCTTGATGATACATATCGAAGTTCGATTATAAATATTTATGCTCGATCACTTGGTGGTTTTCCGCTTGCTTTCTTTTATGGTAAACAAAAAACAGAAAGCATTAAAAATCAATTTAATATTATTTATGGTGATAAAAATTTTGATCAAACTCGAAAATCTGTATGAGAAATTTTTATTGTTGATTATTTGTGCTATTGTTTTTTTTTTAACTTTAGATATTTGAAAAAGGCAAAAAAGTTTTAGATCATTTAACTGATGTACTCGGAACTAAACCATTTCTATTTGGTGCTAGGTAAATATTTATGTCGCAGTATTTTGGATTCTTTTATAGTAGACAAATTCTCAGAATATATACAACGACAAGCTTCTTGAGATCTTCATTATTGAAAATTTTTAATAGACATGTAATCTTAGTCGCCCAAGGCAAAGAAAAGTTTTAGTTAATTCTAGTTAATCTAACTCAGATTTTTCGTACAGTTCTTCTTGACTTGTAATGAAAAGTTCTCGCTTCAATTCATTGCTCATCTATGAATCCAATATTTATTTTTTACAAAACTGTATGTTTTCTAAGTCTGTTTGATTAACAACATGTTATTATTAGTCGCCGGAGGCAGTGAAAAGTATTAGCATTTGTACAAAAAATGTAATATGCTGCTCAAATCTATTAATGTGATGGAAAGAGAAAAATGTTACAGTCTACGAAGCGTAAATATAGGGTAGGTTTTAGTCTATCTATATCTTGTGGCTCTGCTGCATATGTTTATTGGATACGAATTAGTAGTAGACAATATGTGCGATGACCTTGTAACAACGTGTTATCAGTCAGAAGAAAATGAAAGTGAAACAATAATAGAAAATTTCTATATTAAATCAAGCCTGTCTAGGCCTTGTAGCTTTGCCATCTGTAGATCGAATACATTCATAATTTCCAATTAGTTAATTAGTTAATTATTTATCTTAGTCCAACAAGTATTGATGCATTTGTTTTTGGTTATTTGGCTCCATTAATTCATGGTCCTGCATCAAATAGTGCACTTGCACGTTATGCTTCAAGTAGAAAAAATCTTTGTGATTTTGTTAATCGAATATTAACAGTATATCTTGGTGATCTAGGTAAGTTATTCTCTTAAAAACTTTATATTCTATTTGAATTCATAAAACTTCTTTTCTTTAGCTAAAGATAATGATACAACTGATTCTGTATCAACAACAATACCGACAACATCAAATGAAGATCGTCTTCGTGATAAAGTAGCAGTCATTGCTGTTGGTATATTAACCATGTGTGCCTATGCATATCTATCTGGACTTATTCGTATTGAAATTAATCAAGTAGAATGATGATGGGTGCCGTGATATTTTAATGTTATTATTAAAATGAAAATAAAACACAAACCATTCTGTTCTTTAGGCAAAACATCTTTTGATTCCTTTGTTTCTTGTTTTTTTTTCTAGAAAGTTTTTTCTTTTTACAATGGATGAATTAGTTTTAGCCAGCTTAGATTCAGTAAGAGAAATCAATTAAATTTTATATATAGAGAGATTTTCTTTCTCTTTTTTTTTTATATAAATAATATATTAGTCAGTTTTTGATGTGGATAATTTAATTGAAAATATCGCTTATAAATCAACTGATGGAAATGTTATTAATGAAAATTTTGATCCTAGTTTATTAGAAAGTAAATTTCGTCATGCTATGTCAATTTTACAAGTAAATAATAGAAAAATATTGTGTTCTTTTTTTTTATGAAATAAATTTTATTTTAATATAGGATTATCAAGTTCAAACTGATCAAAATATAAAACATCTTGAAGAATTATGTGAAAAAGAACGAAATACATGGGCAAATAGTGTTGCACAACTTGAAGAGTTATATCAAGTAGATTTATTTAGTTTTTTTTTTCTAATCCTTTTTCTTTCCCTCATACTGGTCATTAGAATGAAAACTATCCTGAGAGAAAAAAAACATCAGAACGTCTCATATCGTTCAATCCTTCCTTTTGCTACTACAAGGTCAATCGAATAACCAATATCATCCTATGCGAAGAGTTGGACACCTAATGAATTTGAACATATCATTAGCATATTTGAAAGTCTAATATTCTATGTATAAGATCATTTTTTTTTAATGAGTAGCTCTTCCGAAACTATTATGGAGGATCAAGGATTAAAGTAAAAGATGGAACTAATTGTTTTTTTTTGTTGTATATTTAAAGTCGACGTATACTGGTCAACAAGAACTTGAAATGCGTATAAGTGTTATATCAACAAAAGTCATTCAAATAGGTCATCAACTTGAGAGTAAAAGTAATCCACGTCAACAATTAATTGATGCAAGAACAACAGCAAAATATCTTGAACGTTTTCTTGATGCAAATGATGATGTTAGTTTAATGTTTCAAGATGCATCAAAACTTGAACAAGCAGCACATATTATTCATCAACTATATAATGTTTTACAAGAATTACCTGATGAACCAAAGTAAAACATTTAAGAATAGAAAAAAACAAATCAAAACAAAATAGTTTTTTGTTTTTTGTGTTAAATAAGATTTATTGATGCAAAAACAAAAGTTAAAGAACGTTATTTAGCTATTGAAGAAGAATTATTATTAGAATTTTCTCGTGCACAAGTTCGAAATGATAAAAAAGCTATGAAAAAATATATTAAATTATTATCAAAATTTAAAGTAAATTTTATAACTAAAAACAAAAACAAAAACAAGAAACATTTAATAATTGTTTTTGTTTTATTTAGGGTCATAATGATTGTATTCAAAATTTTATTACTGATTGTTTAAAAGTATGTTAATACATAATAAGAAGAATAACCTCTGAACCGACATGCAGAACTTTAAAAACGTTGATTTTCTATTTGTTTTCGAATATAGGCTCAACATTTCTCTAGGACTTATGATTTAGAAGTTATGAAACAACCTTTTAGAGGCGTGAAAATTAAATTTTCATAGAATTCAAGACGAGATTGTTCTCTATGAAGTGACATAAGAATCAAGAGTTTCAGAAACAAACATCTAGAGATAGAGGTGTCAGATTAGCCTTAGTATTAAAATTAATCTTAACGCTTTGATGTGTTTTGCATTAGGATTATTTAATGTCAAGCTATTCGTATCAAAATCCGGATTATTTATAATTCTAATACCTATATTACCTACATGACATGATGAGATGTTTATTTGCAGAAAATTCAAATAAAATAACTATAAGAAAAATATCATGTAAATTTAATTCAGTGCTCTAAAAAATAAGCGTGAGAAATCGATTTGAATATAAATAGAATATAGAAATGAAGTGTATTTCCTTGGGGGTTAGACTGACTCATGAAATTCATCTCATTACTGTTAACTATTCTCAAATGCTCCATGGAGTAACTTGAATATTCGCATTAATGATTGGCATTATAAGGTAGCTGTTTTAATTTCTCGTTCTCGAATATATTTAAAATAAAACGCTAACTAACTTAAAATTATCCAAGCGAAAAAAAAAGAATAAAATTGATATAAGCATGTGGGTGAGGGTATTAGTGCAGGTGTACTACTCGTCTTCGTTCGTACACATCCTATTGTCACATTCTTCCTAACTAAACTAATTCTCAAAGGTATACATTGATTGAATGTGTAAAAATCAATTTCAGCTACACATCACAGACATTTTATCTGAACTCTTGCATCAGTATTCTCTAGCTTGTATCATTCATTGGATAATGATGCATAGAAATTTGAATTTCTTGGAAAGAGGACTTTAATAATATCCTCTCGAAATGCTATTCCCAAATTTGAACAAAATTGTTCGATTTTGGAAATTTCTATGTTTAGCGTGGTCGAGATCTAGTACTTGATAATCTATATATGAGAATTAACAATAATGTTAATTTACTGCTAACAGATTGACATTCATTAATTTGAATACAAACAATTCACAAGCATCATGATTAATTTTAATACTAATGCTAATTCTGATACGATAGCCTTTAGTCAAGAATGGCTAAACTCGCTTTACAAATCTCGATTCCCAGTGAAATCGAGATTTGTGTCGAAGCTGACACTATGTACTTTACCAACATACTTACTATTGACAAATGACTTGCACCAAACCAATCATCAATACATTACTATATAGATAAATGTTTGCTCTTTCATTTGCTTCTCTAAAAGGTCGAATCATAAATCTGAAACTTGAAGTACTACAAAGATTTTGAAGTCATATTCGGCTAGAACACAAAATTCTGATATTAGCTCAATGTTTTCAAATTTTTGCAGTTTCGTTTTTAAAAGGTTGAAAAATGAGTTTGTGCTTATGAATGGATCATCTTAAGAAAGTTTTTAGGAATTAACAAAATCAGACTTTATCTTAGAAATCTTTTCTTAAACTTAATAAAACAAAGTCACAAGAAAACTTTCAAAAATTCGCATATTTATTTCTATTATAATATAAATATAAACATTCTTCTTTTTCTTTTCTAGGGTTATTTTGATAATCCAAATATTGATATATTTAATTCCATTCCACAACTGTTTACTAAAGTTTCTGAATTAATTAATGAAATATTTGATCAACCTGAAAAAGTTACAGAACGATTAATTATTACAGTGTACACGGAAAAATTAGCTGTAAGATTTTGTTTTCTCCTATAATATATATATATTGAAAATAATTTAATCTGTTTTGTTAAATTTTTTTTTTTCGTAGCCTTATGTTCGTGATCAACTTGATCCATATGTACGTAATCCAGATTTAGATAATATGGAAAAATATCTTCAAACTTTATATACTCTAAGTAAAAAGTAAGTCAAATAAAATATGAAATTTATTAAATTATTTACTTAAATAAATAAATAAAGAGCAACAAAATTATCAAATGATTTACAAACACAAAAAATTAGTGATGATCCTGCTTTTTTACATAAATTAAATCAACATGTTTTTAAAACTTATCTCAAAACTTATAGCAAGTAAGTTAATTAATAATGTTCTATAGAGAATTTTATTTTGTTTTTTGCCCTAAATATTAGATATGAAATAAATTGTTTGGAAGAAAAATTTCAAGTTCATCTTGAACGAGTCGAATCAACGGGTGGTCAACGAAGAATTAAACCAACTGGATTAAGGTAAAAGAAAATATTCTTTATGTAATCAAGTAGAATTTTTCTTCTGTTGCATCGTTGTTAAATCAGAGATTATTGAAGTGGAAACCAGCTTAAATGTCCCAGTGAGCTTTTAGAACCAAGCTACAGTCGTTTTCCTGAATTTTCAACTCAGTTTTACGTATATATCGGAAATTTAAAAAAACCCAGTATATCCACATGAAATTTTGCCTATCAATAGGACGAATGACCAGTAGAATATTCTGAAGGTTTCAGCTGAAACGAATGTTCCTTTGTCGAGATATTGAATTTACAAGTAAACTCGATTTTTGTAATATGTCTATAGCAAACGGATATTTTTTGCAAATTTAATATCTCAATCAAGGAACATACTTTTTGGCTGAATCTTTGCAGATATTCTATTGGTCATTCATCCTATGTATGGGAAAAAAATTTCATGACGAAATACTATTCTTTTTGTCTTTCAGTGTATACTTAAAACTGGATTGAAAATTTAAGAAAACGATTATAACTTAGCTGCAACGACCTATGGGAACAGATCTTTTTAGACTTTTACTAGTCTCACTAAAACATCCTTGCAGGTCAAATATAAGCTTAAACGACGTGTATCAGTTCGGACGATTCCCTCGTGAGAATAATTTTTATTAAATTTTTGCTGAATAAAATTGATTTCGATAAGTTCGTTTCGTGTTAATTATAACTAAACTTTTCAATAATTTTTCTATTATCAAACCATTATAGTCACATTTTCGATTGATTATTATTAAACTTAATTAGATTTCTAGTTGAAATTTATTTGAAATACAATTTAAATGAATGTTGAAATTGCATATATATGGAATGAATAAAACTTGCAGAATCACAGCTTATTAAACCGAGATCATAGTTAATACAAATCATTCTTTTACAAGATTTTTCTGTTGTTTAACTTATCGAGATTATAAACAACAATTATAGACATATATTTTTTTTTCAATTGTTTTATTTCTATATATAGTATAACTGATATAATTCAACAACGTTTATTAAATACAACTGATCAAGTTGATGAATCTCGTTTTTCACCTGATTTAGCTGCTGCTCTATTAAATGATTGTAAAACAGCAATGAATCGAATAACAACTGTATATCAAAATTTTTATACATAAAATCTTTTTCTTGTTTTTGAATAAGTACATTTGTTTTTTTCTTCTAGTTATCTGAAGGATTAGAAGCTG